TTAGTAGAAATAGGTCAAAAATTCAACTATCTCTGAGATATTAACAATTTAGCATCATGACTGACTGACTTCTATGTGCCACATGAAATGTGAGAAAAGAGGATAAATTTTCAGATGTTTATCTCAATATTTACAGATGATGTTCCATGTCCTTCCACTTCCATGCATACTTGGCATCATAATCATAGAGTTGAAAACTCCCTCAACAATTCCATTTCTTTGACAAATAATTTATATAAAAAAAAAAGTTGAATTTTCAGCCTGTTTACTAAAGTTCTTTTACTCAGTACAGTATGTACTATCTGTTGTAAATGCTGAATGTTTTTTTAAAATACTTTATATTATACATATAAACATTAGATATACAAAACAAATATGAAGAGGTAATGTATATTTGTTTACATTTTATTTTTCGATATTATATTAAACTCATCTCTTATGGATTACAATATAAAATAATTTTCATAAATTATCTATTTACTAAATCCAAAATGCTAATTGAGGAGAATGTTTTCAATGCATGTAGATATTATGTATCTTGTGACAACTATTGTGCAAGATAAATTAATTAATAAACAAATAAATAAAATTTTATTTCCAAACTATGCTCAAAATTTCATAATTAAATAGTAATAAAAATTAAATGTCTATATAGTAAATGCATAGATTTAAATCAATTAAAAAAAGTGGTAAAAACTTTATATTTTTTAATTAGGTTTCTATTACTGGTTTTTTTGTAGACTTTAAAGAATTAAAAGCTAGTGGCTTTCTTTCTTCAGTAACACATCACATAAGAAACAGTTGATTTATGTATTTTTTATTAAAGGAATTTCTAAGGAAATTAAAGGAAACCATTCTAAGGACTAAAGAGAGGTCATTAAGACCCGAAATGCATTTCCTTTAATAAAAAATACATAAATCAATTGTTCCTTGTGTGATGTGTTACTGAAGAAAGAAAGCCACTAGCTTTTAATTCTTTAAAGTCTACAAAAATTTATATTCCTCACCATCTTATACATGTTACCTTAATATTGACAAATAATCTGCCATATTATCAGGTTATTTTAAGGCTCATTTAATAATTAGAATACATTAATTTAAATTTAAAATTTTTCTAGAAGAAAAGAATTGGCCTGGAGTGGGACACAAAACCCCTAACACTTGATTACTGTGCAGATAAGCATCCGCATGGTAAGCAAGAATTATGGGTTTGTTAATTTAATAATTTAATCTTTATTATTAAATTTATCTTTATTATAGCAAAATGTGCTTCAAACCGTCCTATTTCTTTTAAATGAAAAAACAAAAGGATTTGTAGAAAGGACTGAATATTTTTTTTAACACTTAGTTTGTTTATGAGCAATAATAATTAAATGTGTATTATATGTAAAATTATCATCAAAAGCATAAGCCTTAGTATGTATTTTTAATAATATAAAGCAATAGATGAAAAAATACTTTATTTTATTAATAGACAGTAATCCTGATTGCATTTACTCAGTTATTATATAAATATTAGGTATAATTATAGTTTAAAAAGTGACTGCAAATGGGTCGGGTAAAAATATGTGAGGTACATAATACATGATAGTTAATGAATAAAGAAATACAGTAGAGCGNTAAAACTCTGTTTGTGATATTACCTTGAATTGCAATGCAACGTTGCAATACATCGACAGCTGCTTGGCAAGGTCTACGAGATATTTCTTCCTCTTTCATTGGTGAACAATCATCACCTAATAAAGCAGCAGTGCATTCATGTGAACAATCACATATAGCTGGTAAGTCATAACTAAACAAATTATAAAATATATCAATTATTGCTATTTTCAAAATATATTATTTTTTAATTATGTATTATTTAATAATTATAAGCAATCTAAGTTAAATGCTCTTAAAATTTATTCATTAACTATTATAATATAATTTATTTTTAACAAAATATTTAAAAAATTATCATCTAATATTTCCAGAATTAAAATTATATATTTTATAGAAAAATATAATTAAAGTTTTAACTTAAAACTTCTTTATGTATTAAATACTCAATTTAAATTAATAAAATATTAAAATATATCTATAAGCTTATAATGTACTAATTTATAAATGCCAATGAATCAACATCACAAACTATACAGCTCTTCTAAAATTGATGTGTCAAGTTTTTGATATGTTTTTTGCTATTTATTAATAATTTTTTATATTAACAGGTGCTGGAATCTCTTTTAATCTGAATTACAAGACAGCACTTAAAACTGTGAGATTATTCACTAAATGGTCACAGATGATATTGCATGTAATGCATGTTCACTTGAATTATCTACATTGCAGTTATTAAAAACCCTCTATTCTGTGCAACTTTCTTTTAGTTCATTTTATGTAAATTTAGCTTTAGCTTTGGCTCTGGCTAGGATTAAATTTAAATAAAATAAAATAAAAAACTGCAGGTATCAGTAATATCAAGTCCATATTTAGTACAAGTTTAACTTATTCTAATTTTTAACTTTCTAGCAGGCTATAATATTTTATAGACATAAGAGGCATAAAATTAACGCAAAATTCATTGTTCAATTTTTTGCAACATCAGTTAATCTAGCAAAAACTTAATACAGCAAGGCTTTGAAAGAAAGTATGCTGGAAAATTGATGATTGACTTGTATTTATCATAAAACTTGTTACCAAAATGGAAATGAAGCAATATGTGAAGTGTAATCATAATTTTTTTAAAATTTAGTCAAATAATTAAGAATTACAAAAAAATTATAAAATAGTAATTTATATATTAACTTTTTAGCAGAATATATTGAAAAATGTTCCAGTATTTTTAATTTTAGATTTTTTTTTCAATTTTTTTAACTTAAATTTTTAAAATTAATAGTAAACTTAAAATGAATATTAAATTTCTGTCATTCTCATATATATTTTAAACTGTACTGTTAATAAATATTATGAAAAATAATCAAAATAGGTTGACAAAAATAACAAAAATGTAGTAGTACACTAGGATTTGATTTTTCTTCTGATAAGAACTAGATTTTAGTCAGTTCACCAAAAGAAGGATATGAAGTTAGAAGTATTTAGTAAAATAGGATCAAAATAACTATAATTAAATACTTAAAATTAATGAATATAATTGTTAACTTTTAGACTAAAGATTTTAATTTGTGAATTAAAGATTAACTTCATGAAAGAAAATCAATTCAAATTTTGAATATTATTGTAAATGATACAAAAAATTGTAATAGATATGGAATAAAAACAGTAAATACTAAAAGCATCCAATTGATAAATCCATCAATGGCTTAAATGATAAAATAATGAATTTCTATATTATATCAAATAAGAAAATATATTACATTGGATACGAAAAATATTTGAAAATTAAAAAAAAATAATAATAAAATAAAATAAAAATATAAAAAAAAGGGATACTTCTTTTTGATTTAATTATTGAAGAACTGTTAGTGATGCTTGATTATTTAGTTTATTTATTTTTTTTTGTGCTTTAGGTATCATTAAAAAAGTAATTTTAAACTTACCCTCCCTCAAGTGCTAACACAACTTTTCCATTTGCTAGCTGCATTAACTGCTTAGTCATATTTCCAAAACCTAAACAAGAATTCAAACATTAAGTTAGTTTAATTATTTAAATTCATTTTATTTCTAAGATATTTTTACTAAAATTCTTTTACAAAATGCATTCAAAGTTACTTAAACTACATTTTGCTAGAAATCACCTTCCTGTAAGAATGTACAATTGTATAAAAGAATGCACAATTTCTTACAGTATTCTATTTCTTACAGATAGAAAAAATTCAAAAAGTTACATATGATCAAAATAACAACTTTATGATAACTTTCAAAAATTAATGGTGTTGCTTGAAAGGAATAAAATAGAGTAAGAATATTATTAATCTATACAGACATTTGATCCTGTTATTAAAACTTACTTCTCCAAATAATAAAATCTATTGTTTTCATCTTTATTGGAAACATTTAAATTAATTTCTGTAATACAAAGTAAATTCAAAACTTGGACAATAAGTGCTTGAAATTAAAATGAATGATCATATTAAATAATCTCTAATTTATAATCATTTTAATATTTGTTAAATTCATACAATCATTATTTCTATGCGATTAATTTTGAAATTTTTTTTTATAAAAATAAAATTAATAATTTTGCTTTTATTATGTTTCTAAATTTATTTTTAGTAATTGTTCAAAATTGTTTAATAAAACTTTTGTGAAATATAAAAAGCTCATGCAAAATTTTCATAACTTTCTGTTTCAATGTTTTATATTCTATTTCTAAAGGTTGTAAATAATAAAAATATTAATATTTAAATTTGTAAACATTATATAAAATACTTTCAAATAATAGCTAATATTAATACTTACAAGCAGCTGTGATATTATAACCACCAAGAGGTGCAGGATGTCCATAAGCAGCATCAAACCCCGATGCCACAAGTACAATATCAGGATCAAAATCTTTGGCTATTGGCATGACAATTGTTCTATAATAACAATTATCATTATTATAAAACAAATATGTAAATACATCGTATATTTAACCAAAAATTTTAAAAAAAATCAGCATTTAACAATAAATATTTTCTTGATTCTACAATTTAAGTTTCTTGTTGTATTTACATAAAATTAGAACTTTCTAAATTTAAAAGAATCCATTATTAATACAGTAGATTCCCAATTACCCGAGGTTCTGTATTGAGTAAAATGAACATGTATGAGAGAATACACTACTTTTCTTATACAGTAATACCCCGACTTACGCGAACCCGGAGTTACGCGATTTTCAAATCTTGTTGATTCGTCTTTTGTTTGAGCGCCACGCAACCCTTGATTACTCACTCTCCCCACACTATTGTTTAGCTTACATGTTCGGATGTGTCGCGTGGAATCCACACATAGCTACAATTTATTTTGTGTTATTTATTTCTGTGTTTGTTATATCTACGGATACTTGATAGACTCTACTATGTCATCCAAACCAAGTAGAACTAATTCTTCTGCATCAAACAAGAAAAGAAAAACTTTATCTTTGGAATATAAAGTTAACATTGGGTATGTTCGTAAAGTCGAACGAGTTAAGAGAGAATGACGTCATCGTTATTCCTATTTCGTTAGACTTTTCGAACGATTCGTTACTAACGCGTTTAACTCGTTTGACTTTACGAACGTACCCATTATTAAAGACTTCG